TGCAAGGCAGGATCAGTCCTTGGAGAGGGACGCCTTGGACATGTTTCAAGGCAGGATCAGTCCTTGGAGAGGCTTGGGATGGTGGAGGGACAGTGCTGGAGAGGAAGACCCTGGATGAGATGGATTGATTGAATGACTGGTATATTGGGGATAGGTGTGTCAGAGACAATAAGATTGACACCGGATAGAGCAGGGTTTATGGCTGTTATACATAGGGTCACTATGAGTTGCAGGCAACTTGACAGCACATAACAACAACAATAGCCATAATCAAGAAATGTTTACAGTGTATGCAACAGAAACTGGAATATAGTCTCTGGCTCTAGGAAATATGTAGCCTGTTGGACAAGACTCAGAAATCCTCTTCATTTCTGAAAAGGATAATAAATGATCTGGTAGGACTACATAGAAGGGCTGCTTTCTTCAAGCATCAGGCAAGAACAGCAAAAACTTTTAACCATGGCCAGCACAAAGGCAAGAAGTCTCAGGTCACACCTTGCCACAGGGTCTCCACAGCAATGCCACAGCCTCTCCACCTACCACCACCAGAGTCGTGCTATCAGGGTCTCACTCTTAAAAAGTTCTTACTCTAGTCTCCCTCAAGTCTTGGGGCCACAAGTCTTGCTCAGCTCAAGTGGCAAACACCCTTTTTCTTATCCTAGTCCCACAGCTGTTGATGATTTACAAGGTCATGTGTCTACAATTGAGTAGCTGGAGGCCAGAGGGGGCTAATGGTAATGACTAAAAAAACCCAACTTTTAGGCAAACAACACACTTCCCATCGACTATCTCATTCAGTCTTTATAACAACTTCAAGAGGTTAAGGGAGAAGAGTTTATTCTGGTTTCGATATGAAGGAATTAAGACTCGGGCAGTTTTGTTGCCCAGCTGTGAGATCAGACAGACTGAAGTTCATATCCCAGCTCTGCATCTAACCAGCCTTGATCTATCTTGTCTTCATGCCCTTTTCTGTATAATGGGTAAAATCATAGCACTGACCTCATCAGTCTGTTCACTTGTCATTCATTCGCCAAACACTTAATATACATACTGGAAGTGCTGGAACCAGAAAGATAGGGTCCTGGTCCTCATGAGTTCACAGCCTATTGGAATATAAACATATAATTATATAAACATAATTGGTTGGCCTAGTGGATAGAAAGATGCTACCAAGCCAAAGGTGGGTGATTTTAATCTATAGCCCTCAGGCCTGGTTTTAGTTGTTTTTGGTCAAACATTCTTCTAAATGGTCTAACACTGGTCTGTCCATTTGCTCTACAGAGTGGTTACTGTGATACTAAATATTGTGACACTGATGTGTTAAATGCGATAATGGTCCCCATGGTGGACAGTGTTTGGTGGAGCTCCCAAATTAAAATGGGCTTGGACGCAGGAGTGGCATCCAATTCTAAAATATCTTGCCTCTGGAAACTCTATGAAGATAGAGAAATGATGAAAGTTAAATGTTCAGGTCTTTTGTTCATAGGGTCTCTATGAGTCGTCTACATCTTGATGGCACTTAACAACAACAACAACAAGTCATTGCACCTAGAACCTAAAACTCCAATGTCTGCCTGAACCAGGTGCTAAATGAACTACAGGATATATGAGAGAAGAGGGAGTGGTAGAGCCTACAGCAAATTAGAGATTGTTGTTGTTGTTATGTGCCATTGAGTCATTTGCAACTCATAGTGACCCTATGTACAGAGCTCTAAATGCTGTTCTATCCTGTGCCAACTTAGCCATCTCAAACGCACTCATTCCCACCACTCTAGTCACAGAATCGATCCATCTCATCAAAGGTCTTCCTCTCCTTCACCGCCCCTCTACTCTAACAAACATGATGTCCCTCTCCAAGGACCAGTTCCTCCTTGCAACAGGCCCAAAATATGTCAGACGAAGCTTCAGAATCCTTGACTCCAAGGAGCATTCTGGCTTCACCTTCTCCAGGACAAACCTGTTTGTTCTCCTAGCAGTCCATGGTATATTCAACACTCTTCTCCAGCACCGCAGCTCAAAGGCATCAATTCTCTTTCTATCATCCCTATTCACTGTCCAACTCTCTGATGCATAGCACGTAATTGTGAAGACTATAGCCTGGATCAGGTGCACCTTAGTCTCCAGCCTGATGCCTGCTCTTCAGTACTCTTGAGAGGTCCCTCACAGCTGACTTCCCAAAGCAATTCATCTCTTAATTTCCTGGCTGCTGTTACCAAGAGTGTTGATTGTGGAGCCAAGTAAACTAAAACTGTTAACTATCTCAATCTCTTCACCATCCATACTGATGCTGCCAATTGGCCCAGTGGTGAGAATCTTTGTTTTCTTGATGTTGAGCTTCATCTGTATTGAAGGCTGCAGTCCTTGACCTTCTGCAGCAAGCGCTTCAGGTCCTCCTCAGTTTTAGCAAGCAGGGCTGTAATCTGTATAACGCAGGTTATTGATGACTCTTCCACCAATCCTGATGCCACATTCCTCCTCGTGCAGCCCAATGTCTCGGATGATCTGTTCTGCATACAGATTGAAAAGGTATGGAGACAGAAGACATCCTTAATGGACCCCCTTCTCGATTTTAAACCATGTAGTGTCTCCTTGCCCTGTTCTGACGACTGCCTCTTGGTCCAAGTATAGGTTTCGCATTAGCACAATCAAATGTTCTTGGATTCCCATTCTTCTTAGAGTCAGCCACAGCTTATTGTGATACACACAGTCAAAAGCCTTTGCATAGTCAAAGCACAGACAGATATTCTTCTGGTATTCTTTGCTTTCTGTCAAGATCCATCTAACATTAGCTAGAATATCCCTAGCCCTCAAATTAAAGCAATTCAAATTGAAAATTTTTTTTACTGGGTTTTTTTTGGTGGTTTTTTTTTTTTTAAATTTTTTGTGTGTGTACCATCAAATTGGATCTGACTGGTACAGGAAGAAATTGCCCCTCCTTCTCCAGCAGAGCATCTGGTGGTTTTGAACTGCATGTCTCTGGGATTGCAGTGCAGTTTCTTGCCAGTAGGCCACCAGAGCTCCCTTAAAATGGAAAATGTTTTAACAATTGCTGTCTTAGTTGTCCAATACTACTACAAGAGAAATCACACACCTGAGAGACTTTAACAAGCAGAAATTTATTTTCTCACAGTTTAGAAAGCTAAAAGTCCAAACTCTAAGTCCTAGCTCTAGGGCAAGTCTTGCTGCCTATCCATTCTGGAGGAAGTCTTTATATTTTTCAGTTTCTAACCTTTGGTTCCTTGGCAGTTTTCATTGATGTAGCCTCTGTCTTCCAACATCTCTGCTTGCTCTCTTACTTGTCTCATCACATATCTCAAAAGAACAGTTAAGATATATGGTATATTAACCATGCCTTGTTAACATAACAAAGAAATCCCATTCCCACGTTGGATTATAATCACAGGAAGAAATTCAAATTTACAAACAAAAGACAAACTCCAAGTTTCAGCCAACATGAGACATCAGTTTGCAACTCTTGGTATACGTATTTGTGAGCAGTAGTAGGAAGGAAAAAACACAGGTTGTTACATGTGGTAATAACATGAGGATGGAATAGAAATTGAAAGCTGGAGGAGGACGGGGAGAAAAGACGGTGTGGATGGGGAAGAGAGCATTGCTGGCAAAGGAACACACAGATGCCAAACCTTATGTGGGGAGCGGCTTGCATCATTCCAGGAAGGGAGATGCTCAAAGCATCTGGTACGTAGAAAGTAAGTGATAAGTTGGGAAAGGTTGGCATCTCATGGGATTTAATACTCACTCCTGAAGCATCATGTTGAGGGCCTTGGTAAGTCATAGAAGGTCTCCAGATGAGTGAAGGTTGAGTATGTAAATCAGAAAATAGTGGAGCACTTAGCATGCACAGAACAACTCTTACAAATTGATGGGGTCTAACTATCTCCACTACACAATAAGGGAAAAGAAATTGAGACAGAAAGACATGAAGAGGCCTTGTCTTTTCTTGGGTCTTGTGGACAGAGCCATGACTCAGACCCCAGCATTCTGGCTTTGAAGTGCCATTGTGCCGTCTCTGAGGAAAAGACTATTCTAGTTACTAATAAAGTGTATTGGCGACTTATGTGGAATAAGGGCCAATTCTGAGAAGTTAAGGAAGAGACAATTTAAAAAGCCCTTATCATAGTGTCTGCTACTAGGGGTGCCTGGAAACATCAAATGTAATTATCCTCATCATTATAGTGTTGTTAGGTGCTGTCAAGTCAATTCCAATTTATGGCTACCTTATCTGCAACTAAACAGAACACTGTCCTGCCCTTTGTCATCCTCACAATCGCAGCTGCACTTATACCCGTTGTTGCAGCCATATGTCAGTCCATCTCTTTGAGGGTCTTGCTCTTTTTCACGGATCATCTACTATACCAAGCACCATGTCCTTCTTCAGCCACTGGACTCTCCTGATAACATGCCCAGTGTGGAGTGAAGGTTTCCCCATTCTTGTGAAGCTTTGCCTCATATACTTTGGCCATGTTGGCAGGAGGCCAGTCTTTGGAAAAAAGATGTCATGATGGGAAAGACAGGGGGAGAGTAGAAAAGAGAGAAACCCTTGAATCCCACTGCTGCCAGGAAAAAGAGAGAGAGAGAAACCGTTAGTGGAATGGATTGACACAGTGACTACAAAAATGGGCTTGGGCACGGTGGAGAACTTGGGGTGGTGCGGAGTAAGGCAAGGTTCAGATCTGTTCTTGACAGAGTCGCTATAAATTGTAGTCAGCTTGACTACATGTAACAACAACTTCATCGTCCCACTTTCACATGTGTATGAGGTGACTGAAAATACCACAGCTTGTATCAGGTGAACCTTAGACCTCAAAGTGACATCTTTATACTTTAATGAGGTCCTCATCAGCACATTCCCCATCTTTAGGACTTTAATGAGGTCCTCAGCAGCAGACTGCCCTAATGTCTAATCTTGTGCTAAAGCATTTTTCTTTTCTGCTTATTTTCCTGAAAGGAAATAATTTTTTTAACCTTCTTCCCCTAAGGACTTTGTCATTCTAAGACTTTGGTAGACAACAACCACCATTCCAGCAAGCCCCAATCCTTCAATCCTGAGCTGGTCATCTCCCACTGCTTCAAGCAGTTCAAGCAGGAGAACTTCCACCTGCCACCAAGCCGCCGCCGCATCGTTGTTCTGCCTTCTAGGGAGGGGCAGCTGTCTGTAAACCCCAAAGCCGAGCCCCTGGCTCCTGCACAGCTTGTCCCCAGCTTTAAAGCCCTGGAAGCCAGGGACATACAAGAGCAGCCATTAGACATCAAGACCTGGCTGAGCCAGAGGGTGGTGTTTCGGAAGGACTTAGAGTCATTTGGCAACGTGGAGAAGTGGCTGAGGAACAAGCCTGATTGCACACCTTCAGAAGTTAAGGTCTTACAGAGCAGCTACAAAAAATCTGAAGAGACCCAACCGGCTATTCCCCAGGATGCTAAAGTGAGTAGCTCATGTGCCAGATGGATACTCTGAGGGATTGGGGGAAACGCTGTCGTGCCTTAAGAGAGGCAGAGTAGGGATAGTTTATCTCCTAGGGGGGGTCAGCAGAGCCCATAAAGAAAAGGGTATTCATTATGCATTGCGGCATAACAATAACTCAAAATTATATCAAGCAACAAATGTTTATTATCTCAATGCTTCTGAGAGTTCAGGAGAATCTAACCAATGGTTCTTACTCACTCAGAGTTCTCATGAAGTTGCAGTTAAGATGTTGGCTGGAATCACAGTTGAGTGACATTTAACTGAAAGAGTTTCTGCTAATAAAATGGCACATTCCAGTGGCTGTGGGCAGGAGGTCTCAGTTCCTCACCACAGGGTTTCTCTCTGCATAGAGATACTTTAATATTCTCACAATGTGGTAGTTTCCCTCAGAGTGAATGATGCCAGAGAGTGATCAAGGAAGAGCCTCCAACACCTTTTATGACCAAGTCTCACACTGTCACTTCTACCATTCTACTCATTAGAAGCAGGTCAATAAGGAATTGTCAAGGGAAGGGGAATTATGGACTCATCCATTTCAGAAAGGAGGAGAGGTGGAGATTATGTGGACAGATCTTAAAATCATCCTTTGTTGTTGTTGTTATGGGCCACGGAGTCAGAACAAGCTAATAGCAAACCCTCAAGTGGGTTTTCAGAGGCTGTAAATTGCACAGGAGAAGAATGCTTATCATTCACCCATGAAGCTAATGGATTCTAACCAGGTGCCTTCCTGGCAGGGATAATTCATGATGTTCCATTTTATGAAACTTTGCTGCATATTCATTATCTGTTTGTTTCCTGAGGACATCTCTGTGCCAAGGTCACAAGGCTATTGCAGGTGTGCTCACAGATGTGGAAATTGCAGCTCAGTGAGGCTTACAATTTATTTGCCTAAACCCATAGAAGGAGCTCTGGTGGCCTAGTGACAAGAAGCTGCACTGCAATCCTGAAGGCACATGGTTCAGGCCACAAGCTGCCCCTTAGGAGAAGTTGAGCAATCTCCTCCCATGCCATGAACTGCCTCTGAAAATCACTGGAGGATCAGCTGTGGGTCAATTCCGACTCAACAACAAACCCATAGAAATAAAAGTAGCAGAGTCAGTATCAAAACCTTTATCTTCCAACTTCTTTGTCTCCATATATCGATGCAAACACTTAAAACTTCTTCCCAGTCAAGTGACGTTGGGAAGAGTCAGATTACTTACTCTATAGGCTGATGGGATTATGAAGTTGACAAGGTTACGTCGCAACCTGGAGACTCCCGTTGCCTTGCATTCCAAGATTCATAGGTAGGGTGATAGAAAGAATTTAGAAAGAAAAAAGAGAGTTCTATTTTTTCCAAAATATTGACTTGCAGCATGGAGATAGAGAACTTGCTAAGGAAACTCCATTTTTGGCAGATTGATCCCATTATATGATGGAAAAGGAGCTCTGGTGGCCTATTGGCAAGAAGCTGTGCTGCAATCCAGAAGGTCCACGGTTTGAGGCCACCAGCTACCCTGCAGGAGAAGGATGGGCAGTCTCCCATGCTATTAACTGCCTCTGAAAACCTGCTGAAGGGTCAGCTATGGGTTGGTTCCGACTCAAAGGTACACAACAACAGTGTTTGACCAAACACTTGAGAACCATTGCCTATCCAAGCTGACACATATAATTAACCTTCAGAGGGAGGTAACAGAAAGGCCTCTTGTAAACCATCAAGGGCTGCATCAAGGTAAAGGTGTTTTATCACAATGAAATACTGCCTTTAACCTGAAGTTGGAGAAGGAGTAAGATTTGGATAAGCAATGAATCAGAAGAGTTGTTCTAGGCTAGTTTCCAGGCTGAGCAAAGGCTGAGAGATAGGTCAATGAGGAGTCCATCAAGCAGGATGAGGTGTCTTGAGACACTAAGAATTAGTGGCATTTTGGATGCTAATGAGAATAGTCTGGTCTGACAGGAGAGATGTCAATAAAGCTTTATTCTCATGTTGTCCAAACCACTCATTTCAGAAGAGAAAAGAGAGCAGTCTTCATCCCAGTTTCCAGGATTTTGCTCTCTACTTCCATCTCACTATCCACTTAGACATGCTTAGTTTCCACGGTCTTTCTCTGCCTCTGGTGGCTACACTCCACGGGCCTGTCTCCCCTCACTGTTCCTGTCTCTGACCATTTCAGAAGAAAGCTTCCTGGACTTGGCGCAAATCAGTGTCTCTGCACCATCTGTCCAGACCCCCCGCCCTGGCAGCCCTGTACGCCTATCTGCACAACCACAATATCAGGATCCTGGAGTTTTTCAACAAGGTGAAGCACCGCAATTACCGGAAGTTGACCAGGGAGGAGTTCATTAGGGCTCTGAATGTGGTAAGTGATGCCAAAGGGAAGGATAACCCTGCACTCGTAGTTACTAGTGAAGCCGTAAAGGGAAATGTTGCTTGTCTTGTGAGCACACCTGCCACCCTGTCTGGCTGGAATGGTGAATGTGTGGCACAGGCTATAATGAGCTGTCTGTGGAATCACTGTCTCTTCCTCTTAAACCCCAGAGAATGTTGAACCTTTAGCTTCTAGAATAGCCTCGACCCCTCCCTTACATACAACTCATATAGGAGTCATGTAAAAATGAAGCTTCCGATTAAATAGTTCTTTGTGAAACAGAGGAGACATTTCTAACAAGCTCCTGTCCTGGTGATGCTGTTGGTTCCAATCAGTGGACTGGTAGACAGTAGACTCAGTGCCCATTTAAACATTTAATGTTCAAGGAACTCTGGTGGTGTGGTCCCTAGCTTGTGCTGCTAACTGAAAAGCCACACATCTCTGGCAGTTGAAATCCACCACATAGGCGGTCTCTTCCCATTAAGATTTACAGCCTCAGAAAGCCAGTGGAAGATGGGCTTTGACTTGATGACAGGGCATTTTGAATGCTCAGTAGTCCCATGTAACTGACTACTCTATTTAACCACAGTCGTAGAACATTTCTTTCATCCTGAAAGCTCCAGAAGAACTCAGTAAACTCTAGCCTGTGGGCAAATCCAGCCTGCCTTCTGTTTCTGTAGTTTTCCTGGAAAATGACAGCCCTCATTTGTTTAACTATTTTGTGAAGAATTTCTTTCATGTTCAACTGTACAAGAGTATTTCCTATAAACCAGAGATTGACAATGGTCCAAATGTCCAAACTATCATATCGCTCCATCACCTCTAACATTAATTATTCCTCCTATGTTCAGTTTTCCCCATTCCACTATCCTTTGAGTTCTGCAATTCTCTAGAAGGTCTCACAGGAACGCAAAACCTGACAAGGAAATGGCTCATGCGACTATGGATGATGTGAGCAAGTGCTTCAGAGACTGGTGAGCAATGGGTAAGGTCCTGCAGGCTGAGGTAGTCGGTTACTAGTTGTCAGCACCGCTGGACCAGGTCAGTTGCCATGTCCCAAGAGAGTGAGAATTTAGCTTATATGTTGTTGTTGTTGTTGTTTATCGTAAAATCAGAACCAATCCGTACCTGACCCTCTGGTGGGTTTTCAGACGCAGTAAATTGCACAAGAGGAGATTGCCCATCTTTTTTCCATGGAGCAGCTGATGGATTTGAACGACGTGCCTTCAGGATGGCAGTGCAGCTTCTTGCCACCGTTAATGTTTGTTGAGTACTATCGAGTCAGAACTGACCCAAAACTGACCCTCGAGTGGGTTTTCAGAAGCAGTTAATCACACAGGAGGAGAGTGCCCATCCTTCCCCAATGGAGCAGCTGGTGGATACGAACCACACTCCTTCAGAATTGCAATGTGGCTTCTTACCACGAGGGCTTCCCTACATAGAGGTTGGATAATACACTCTGCTAGAGTAAGCCTTGAATCCCCATCCTAATCCTATCTCCTTAATACAATAAATACCTCATCTTTGAATGTGTTCTTAATACAAGGAGGCTAGAATCACAAAATGGCAGGGCCATATTAATTCATTGTACCACGCTCATTGTCTATGCAGCACAAAGTTTGGTTTTAATAAGAAGAGATTTACTGACCCCCTCATCTAGATGACTATTCTGAATAGAAAGACACCTTTAGAAAGCAAAATGTTGCATTTTTTTATTGTTTTTTAATCATCATGAGTTTCTACTCTATTGTTTTGTGATACATAATTATTTGAATGTTTGAAATATTTTAAATAGTTGTTCTGACGCATGATGACCCCATGAGTGCCTGAGTAAAACAGTACTCTCTAGGATTGTTGACCTCATTTGAACTTACATATGAATAATTAATGGTATGACCCACAGTCCACCCCTGGTCTAGTTTTGACTGCTGATATTGAGCTTCTCCAAAGATTTGTTCCACAGATGTAGTCAATCTGATTTCTATGCCACCCATCAAGTGAGATCTATGTCTAAAGTCATTGTTTGAGTCTTTTTAAAAAGGTATTTACAATGAATAAATCATTGATAAACACCTCTTCAACCTATATGCAGAACAGATCATCCAGGAGGCTGGGCTCTATGAGGAGGAATGTGGCATCAGTATTGGAGACAGACTCATCAGCAACCTACATTATGCTGATGACACAACCTTCCTTGCTGAAACTGAGAAGGACCTGAAGTGTTTGCTGCAGACGGTCAAGGACTGCAACCTTCAATACGGATTGAAGCTCAACATCAAGAAAACAAAGATTCACACCACTGGACCAAATGGTGAAGAAATTGAGATTAACAGCTTTAGTTTGCTTGGCTCCGCAATCAACACTCTTGGTACCAACAGCCAAGAAATTAAAAGAAGAATTGAATTGGGAAAGTCTGCTGTCAGGGACTTCTCTAAAATATTGAAGAGCAGTGGTCTCAATCTGGAGACTAAGGTGCACCTGATCCAGGCCATGTTGTTGTAAAGTGGTGTTGAGACATAGAGATCCTATGAATGAAAGACCTGAATACTTGTTTAACTTTTCATCATTTTTCTAAGTTCATAGAGTTTCTGGAGGCAAGCTATTTTGGAAGTGGATGACACTCCCCCTTCCAAGCCTGTTTTGGTTTTTTTGGTTGGTTTTTTTTTTCTGGAAAAATTTTTTTTAATTAGCCATTAATTTCTATAGATGTATAGGACTTGATCTAATTGTACATTCTCTGATTGGAGACATACTTCTCACACAAGAGAATAGATAATTCACAAAGATTGAAATCACCATTGCTTAAAAAAATACAGGTTTCTGTGATAAAGTATTTATTGGCCACTGAGTTAACTTTAAGGAGTTGACGGTACATGGTTAAAGCACTCAGCTGATCCCATTGCTGCAGTCCCAAGCCTGTTTTAATCTGGGAGCTCCACCAAACATTGTCCACCATGGGAACCATTATCAGATTTGACACATCAGTGTCACAGTGTGTGGCATCACAGTACCCATGAGTTACCTCTGTACAGCCAATCTACAGACCATGCTATACCCTTTAGAAGAATGTTTGACTAAAACCAGGCCTGAGGGCTGTAGATTAAAATTGCCCACGTTTGGCTTTGTAGCATAACTTTTTATCCACTAAAACAGCAGAGCTCTCTCTATGAATCACAATTCTATGAACAATAGATCCAACCCTTGCCCTATCCTATGCCATCCCCACAATACAAGGCATGCTCAGCTATAGTCTTCACAATTACTTGTTATGCATCAGAGAGTTGGACAATGACTAGGGGTGATAGAAGGAGAATTGATGCCTTTGAATTGTGGTACTGGAGAAGAGTACTGAATATACCATGGACTGCTAGGAGAACAAACAAGTTCATCCTAGAGAGGGTAAAACCAGGCTTCTCTTTCGAGGCAAAGATTCTGAGGCTTCATCTGACATACTTTGGGCATGTTGCAAGGAGGGACTAGTCTTTGGAGAAGAACATCATGCTTGGAGGGTGAAGGAACAGTGCAAGAGAGGAATACCCTTGATGATATACATTGATTCAGTGACTGGGGTAATAGGGATAAGTGTGTCAAAGACAATAAGGTTGGCACAGGATAGAGCAGGGTTCAAAGCTGGTATGCATAGGGTCACCAGGAGTTGCAAGTGATTTGATGGACAACACGTAAGAACAATAACAATACAAAATTCAGTCATTCTATTTCCAGCCTCATTTCTATCACCAAGCCCATATTTTACAATTACTATTCCTTCTTCACTGTTTCCAACTTTTGTATTCCAATCACCAGTTATCATTAAAACAGCTTTTTTTTTGTTTCTCATTAAAACATCTCGATTACATGTACAGTCAATTTCAAACTGAAGGATTTGTTAAAAATTCTCAATTTCTTTCTCTTTGACTGTAGACGTGGGGTGTATATTTGAATAATTGTGTTAACGGGTCTTCCTTGTATACATATAGATAATGTGCATTATCAATCTGTATCAATATGGATTGCATGTAAGTGACAAGAAAACAAGATTCTTATCACTGGACCAATAGGCAACATCATGGTGGATGGAGAAGAGATTGAAACTGTCAACAACTTCATCTTACTTGATTCCACAATTAACACCCTTTGGTGCTGGCAGTAAATCAGGAGACATATTGCATTGGAAAAGTCTGCAGTTAGGGACCTCTCCAAATTATTGAGCTGTGATGCTGTCAGTTTGACGACTAAGATGCGTCTGATTCAGGCCTTGGTTTTATCAATTACTTGCTATGCATCTGAGAGCTGGACAGTGAATAGGGATGACACGAGAAAAATTGGTGCCTTTGAGCTGTGATGTTGGAGAAGAGCACTGAATATCCCATGTATAGCCAAGAGAAAAAATAAATATATCTTGAAGAGGGTGCAGACAGAGTGCCCTTTGGAGGCAAGGATAATCAGGTTTTGCCTCATATACTTCAGGCATATTGCTAGGAGGGGCTATTCCTTGGAGAAGGGCATGATGTTGAAAAGGGTGGAGGGCTGACAGAGGAGAGGAAAACCTTCAACCAGGTGGATTTAAACAGTGACTGCTATAATGGGCTCTAGTGTGTCAGGAAGTGTGAAGATGGCGCAGGACAGGATGGAATTCTGATATGCTGTTCATAGAGTAGCTTTGAGTTTTACTTGACTCAATGTCACCTGACAACAAAGCAAAAGTTCATCGTGGGTTGAAGTTTCAGAGGGCACCTCTCTTTTAAGGTGCTCTCTGGTTGCATTTAAATCACCAATATAGCAATATGGGGCTCTGCAGTCTATGCCGCTCAGGGACTCTCTCATGCTTCTCAAATCAGAACTGACTTGTAGCTGATCCTCCAGGGGGTTTTCAAGTACCTTAGTGGTAAGGAATTGTGCTGCCAACCCAAAGGTGTCCAGTTTGAATCTACCAGCAGCTCTGCAGGAAAAAGATGAACAATCTCCTGTGTGATTTACTGCCTCTGAAAATC